AGAGGTGAGGGTGATAATTTAAGATAACACAAAGTCTCAACTATTTAAGAATCTGGTTATCCAGAGAGGGCTCTTGGAATTGCTCAAATGAACAGATACGAATCCTGAGGCAGGTACTGACTGCGGCAGGTGAAACACCACCTCTATGCTAGAGTTTTATTTATAGCACGGCAAAATTCCACTTCAATGCCTCACAACTGCTCAAAACAGGCTTTTGGAGGCAGCATTTCCCTAGCCACTCCCAGGAACAGAGTTCTGTGAAATGTTCAGCGTTTCGTTGAAAAAAAAAAAAGCTACAATATTTTTTTCTTCTAAGATTTATTTTATAAACATTTAAGAAAAGTTCTAGATATTTATTGTGGGCCTGGTTATGCAGTAACAATCTGCCTTATTGCAAGTGTGCAATTCTCAGTATCAAAAGCATTCTCTTCTCTTAGTTCATAAAAGAAAAAATTGGTTTAACTTCTAATTTACTTCCTGTTATTATAAGGTTTAAAAGCAATTACTGTACTTACCTATCAAACTTACTTGTGTAGCAACTAATTAACCTGGGAAGCCATGATTTGCTGTAGGCTTCCCAGCAAGTTTGGAATTGAATCTAAAGTGCGTGTTAGCGTCTCACTGTAACTTAATGCTTCAAATGAGAAGTTTGAGGAATGCTGCTTTTGGCAAAATAGCCACTGCGGGAGTGAGTTCTGCTCTCTTCACCTGCTCAGGACTGCTGTCATGTTCCTCAGCAAGAGGACCACGGGCTACAACCTGGCTCCACAGTCCTTCTTTGGGGCCGATCACCCGCCTGCCAGCTTCCTCTGCTTCTACAGTGGGACAGAGGAATGCTTTTCTAAAAGATATTCTGGCTTATCTGCATGATTCCCTGGTCAACACTGAAGCCGACATGGCCAGATCATCAAAATCTGAAGTTTACTCAGGTCTATTTAATGAAAATTTTTTTTTCTCATGCAAGCATATGTACCTTTGAATAATCTTCCATTTTTCCAATCTGGGGGTTTCATCTAGATTTAGACTAGCCTGCAGATAACGATGCCAGAGCTGGGCTGGGTTACCACAATTCATTCATTTACCAAACACGTTCGAAGCACTACTTCCTCTGGGCTGGCCCGATGCAAGGATACAGAGATAATACCACAAAGAAACCTGCTCATTAGGAGCTTGCTTACAGGCTAGAAAAGAACATAAAACACGAGAATAAAGCACTGCATGTACACGGCAGAAAAATAACTAGCCCGTCAGAGGGCCCCAGAGCCTCAGAGGATGGAGCCGTTCCTGAGGCCGGAGGGTTTACAAATTCATTCCATCTTTACAGAAGACCTGCTCGATGCCAGGCGTGGTGGTAGGCAGTGGGGAAACCCTGGTGAACAAGCAGACATGGTCCCTGCCCTCACGGAGCTTACAGTCTAGCAAAACAAAAATTACAGTCCACTGTAGAGATGTGCTGGGTTGTGGGGTACAGCGAGTTGGCATTATACACACATTTCACTTAAACACAATAGTATTTGTCTGAAAAAGCTTTAAAAAAAGAAAAACAAATAAGTTGTTTGGGCCATTCCGCTGGCCCCTTTTTCCCTCCATGCGCACAGACAGGAGTGGGGCCCAGGCAAGCTCATGTCTCTGCTGCTCCTGTGGCCTGCCCCAGTTCCCATGCTCCCCAAAAGTGACCTACTCGCCTAAATGTGGTTCTGACACCAAAAACAAGTGACTTTTGCACAACACGGCCCTAACTACAGGGCAATCACTTTACCTAGTACTCAACCACAGAAACAGTGATCTGTTCCCATATGGGCAAGAAATGACGATATGGGACCTTAAGATGCTGGCCTTCAACATGGCGTCCTCCATCGATTTCTAAGAGGAATTTTCATTCCATTCCATTTTTATCTTAGGCATTGACCTTGTAACTGAATCCCGGAGAGAGCCAAGACTCTTTGTGGCAGTACCATGGGACACACAGAAGTGGCCTACACCCTGGCTCTGGAAGTTGGGGATCGCCTCCTAGAAGGGCCCCCAAGATCTTGAGGGTGAGGGGAAGGGCAAGACTGAGGCGGGAGGTGAGAGGCCTGGGGGAGTATGTGGCTGGAGGTAGAAACAACACCGTGCACAGTCTGTGGGGCTAGTGAGGTCAAGATGCAGGCAGGGAGCTAGCGAGCAGAGGGCAGGGGAGGGGGAACAGGCCAGAAACACCGCCAGAGGATAGGCCCTGACAGGCCGTATGAAGAGCTATTTCAAAAGGGTGGAATTTGCTTATGTATGTATTTTCGAGACAGGGTCTTGCTCTGGAGTACAGTGCCCAGGCTGGAGTACAGTGGCTTGATCGCTGCAGCCTCAAATTCCTGGGCTCATGCGATCAGAAGTTTGGAATTTATTCTCAGGGTAATGGTGAAGCTTTGAAAAGGTTTCAAGTAGAGGCATAACAGAATCAGATTTATATTTAAGCAAGTTCATCCTGAAGTATGTGAAAAGATGCCCAACACCATTAGCCACTAGGGAAATCCAAATCAAAACCACAATGAGGGCCAGGAGTGGCGGCTCATGCCTGGAACCCCAGCACTTTGGAAGGCTGAGGCAGGAGGATCACTTGAGGCCAGGAGTGTGAGACCAGCCTGGTCAACATAACGAGGCCCCATCGGTACAAAACATATTTTAAAAAGAAAAAAATTTAAAAACTACAACGAGATACCACCTCACATCAGAAAATAATGAGGGTCAGGGAAGATGTGGAGAAACTAGAACCCTCTTACATTGCTAGTGGGAATGGAAAGTGATACAGCTGTTGAAAAACTGCCCGGTGGTTCCTCAAAAGGTTAAAGATTGCTGCATATCCCAGCAATTCCACTCCTAGGTATGCACCCAAAAGGAGTGAGAACACTCTTCGGTGCAAAAATTTGTATGGGAATGTTCATAGCAACATTATTCATAGTAGCCAAAAAGTAGGGCCAGGTGTGGTGGTTCATGCCTGTCATCCCAGCACTGAGGCAGGTGGATCACCTGAGATCAGGAGTTCAAGACCAGCCTGACCAACATGGTGAAACCCTGTCTCTACTAAATATACAAAAAATTAGCTGGCGTGGTGACACATGCCTGTAATCCCAGCTACTCTGGAGGCTAAGGCAGGAGAATTGCTTAATCCCAAGAGGCAGAGCATGCGGTGAGCCAAGATCATGCCATTGCACTCCAGCCTGGGTAATGAGAGTGAAACTCCATCTCAAAAAAAAAAAAAAAAAAAAAAATACATACATATATATAGCCCAAAAGTAGAAACAACTCAAAGGCCTGTTGACCGATGAATGAATAAAAACAAATGTGGTGTGCTCATAAAATGAACTATTATTTGGCAATTTTAAAAAATGAAATAATGATATACGCTATGACATGGATGAACCTCAAAAATATGTTAAGAAGCCAGTCACAGATAGACACATGGTGGATTCCGTTTACGTGAACTGTCCGGAACAGCAGATCCAGAGAGAGAAAGAGCAGCGGCGGCCAGAGGCTAACGGGGAGGGATGGGGAGTGCTGCTAATGCACTCAGGGTTCCTTTGGGTGACATCAATGTTTTCAAGTTGATGACAGTGCTGGGCCACCAGTCTGTAAATACACTCAAAGTCACTGAAGTGTACACTGCAAATAACTGAACTGTATGCAGATTACCTCTAAATTAAGCTGGTAACAAGGGTTTGTCCTGGCTGCAGCATGCAGAATGGAGGCAGGATGGAGGCAGGGCAGAGAGCAGTGACGGGCTGCTACACAAATGGAGCTGGAAAGGACAGTGGCTGAACTGTGGGAGGGAGTCACAGGACCAGACTACGAGGGGCCAGAGGAGAAGACTGCATCCTGTCGTGGGCGCCACGAGTTCTCCTGGGCACCTGGCAACTCTCCAAAGAGGAGAGTGGGAACAAATGAGGTACTGCAACTATCAAGCAGCACAGATGTACTTAAAATCTCCTACACGGAAGACTAAGAGGAACACAAAAAGTGTGCCGCCCACGGGCGTGGGGAGTGTCCAGGATAAAGGCACGCCAAGCTGCCTGCCAGGGGACTGTGCTGACTGTCCGTCCTCCCTCCTAAATGCCAAAGGAAAGGCCTCGTCGTTCAGGGCACACTCAAGATGTTGCAAGATCTGCATGACTGAGTGTGGGCTGGAGAGTTAAGAGGCCAAGAAGGCCAATCGCTCCCAGAAGTCCAATCTTTAAAGCTGCCTTTCTGGGTTCTCTGCGTGTCTGTGAAAACTGTAAGGCTGCTGAAGTGCGCATTTTTCTTGGTTAGGGCAAAGACCCAGTTTTGACTGCACACCACCTCCTTCCAGAACGTCTTTGCTCATCTCCAGAAGGAGACTGATGAGTGCAGAAAGGCCATGGGACAAATGGAACTGGACTGCTGGTGGAAAACCAAAAGGCAAGTCTGTGAAGGAGCAGATTCCAAACCCTGCAGAGACTGGCAGCTGGGACCATGACCACAAGACATCCTGGCCCCATTGGAAGAAGCAGAGACTGTACTGGGATGGGAATAAGCACCTGGCCACACCTCACGCATGCCCTCCGACACCTCCTCGATGCTTCCTCCACCTTCAATAGAAATTAATGCCGGCCAGCCACTGCCGCCACAGCTAGGGAAGAGGAAAACACCCTTGAGACGCGCCAACGAAGTCGTGAGTTCTGGTACCAGCACGCTCAACTGCTAAATGGGAACACGGAGGCGCAGGTCCATGGAGCAGAGCCGGCGTGGGCATCCAGGGCTCTGCGCTTCTCACTCTACCAACTCCTCAAACCCTGGCCTTTCCTAAGAACCTGGCTCTCAGGCGTGTGCTTCACAGGGAAAGAAAAGGTGAAGAATCTCAGATGCCTAAGTCTCAACTGGCAGAGAAACCAGAATCATCTCTTTCCTAGAAAAGAAACTGAAACTGATCATGGTTATATGCTGTCATCTCTCTAAACAGAGGGGAAAAGCAGGTTAACCAACAAAACATGGGGCGACAGGGTTTTAGCTGCAGCTCTCCAATCTTACAGCCCTTTACTTCCTTTATCACCAACAGTGCGCGGCATTCATTCGCGCCACAGTAATCAACTATCAGTGTGACCAGTAGCTCAGCCAAGCAAGGGCTGACAGGATCCCGGCTGCACCACGTGCAGAACAGCCCAGGCAGCTAAGAGCTGAGATGTCGCAAACACGACCAGGCTTATCACCGTCTCTGCCTCCCATGGTCCAGCAAACCGAGGCCAAACACCATTTCCTAAAACTGCAGAGGAGTCCAAAATTAAATACTACCAAACAAAAAGCAGACAGGAAGACGAAATAATCTACCTCCTCCTCATGGAAAAATAATCTGAAAGGAGTTTAAAAATACACGAACTAAAATTTTTATAACTATTATCTGCCAATTTTGAAGAAGTCTTCGGGTGCCACAACTGGGGGACAGGAAGAATAAATATCAATGTATAACTTCTAGAGTGATAATAAACAACAGGACCCCATCTCGGATGGATGGAGTTTTTTCCCTGCTGTAGCCAAAACGCAAGCTGAACTCTATGTACAACAGACAGACTATACAATTAGGAGCATTTAAAAATAAGAAGACTCCTCTCTGCCTTCTTCCAAAGAATAGAATATATATTTAACAGAACAAAAGGAGACACCACTTGAGCTTCCCCTTTAGCCAACAGGAAGAATTTCCACATATAAAAATTAAAAATTTAAACTTTTAAATCATTCGTGTTTTAAACGTAATACAGACTTATAAATTGTTCAACATTAACCCATAATCCCACCCCTAGCACAAAAATCAACCCCAAATCCAGAAGTCACAGGTTTTTGTTCCTAAAAATCCCATAGCACTGAACTTGATCTTCACATCAGGCTGACAGCAAGTAAGAGGCCTGTAACATGAGCAATCCCGAGGGTGGAACGGAAGCACAATCAATGCTGCGTCTCTTATCTACCTGGCGGCACTGGTGCACCTCTGAGGTCAGGTCCATGAGATTCGCCCCCACACTAGGGCCCCGGAAGGGTGAGCTGGCCGCTTCCCTCATCTTCCCCCTCGAAGGATGTCCAATAAGCACCTGGGAATTGACTTTTCTTGGGAAAAGGGTGCTGGTAACAGCTGTCAGGGCCAAGGCAATAGTGAGAAGTTCAGTTCTCTGCTCTTTGGATGAACTGTGTAAAACATTTCTTTTAAAAGACACAATGTTAAAAATATTAAGAAAAATGTCTACAAAATCTGGAGGGCTGCCTTTTTCTCAAAGGGTAAAGCCTGTGGGGTGGTGGGAAAAGAATCGAGGGCCCAGAACTACAACTCTGCAGCGAGATAGAGATGCCCTTGAAAACGTGTCACATTCTTAAGATGCCTTGCCGAAGCAGCAAGAGCTGAGGGTGACTGTGTGAGCAGGGGCGAGAGGGCGCCGGCTCCTGGGCTCCTGCGGGGGAGGTTGCTACTGCGCCCCACCCCGTGCCCGAATGTCAGGCTTTAGGGCAGCTGCCACAGGCCCCGGGGGCATCAGGACTCTGCCTCTGAACCAGAGCTGCTTTCCCGACTAACTTCAATCTGGAGAGATGGTAAGTTATCTAACCGGCTCTTCTTTTGGCGAGACTGCTCTTTCTCCTTAATCAGAGCCCCCCACGCCCTTTGCAGCTCGGAGTCGTCTTCCTCGGCGCCAGGTGGCCTGTGATCCCCTTTCTTCGTATTCTTTTCTTTGGTCTTGGGTGCAGATCCTAAGCGAGTCCATAAATTACCTGTTTGGATGACATGACATTTCAGTTTTGCAGTCAGCGCTAAGAACCAGGGTAGTACCAAGAGGGCAGTGGCACTGTCAACCCCTGATGTGCAGGAAACACCAGCAGTCTGTGGCGCCTGCCAGCACGGTGCAGCCTTGGGAAGGTCATCTCATTTCCCGGGGGCAGCCCCTGCCTGCAAACAGAGGGATCTGGACTCCGCAGGGGATTCTCACTGTGCGGGGCCAGTCCTGTCACCAGACACGCGGGATCACCTGAGAGGCTGTTTCCTCCTGCTCCTGCCCTTCCCTGCTGAGACATGCCCCTGTGTGCCAATCCTTTCTGCCGGGAGTAGGCCATTCCCAGATCCTTCCAGCTCCAACATTCTACAAATCAATGGCCTACTGCACTGCAACATTTCAGAAATTCTGCCCACTATCCATTCATTTTTGAAATACATTTTATGAAAATTTCACAGGAGAAATACGTGTTTAGATTTTGTGGACAGCCACATTATAAGGCAGTTAAAAGTGGTTTCTGTTTTTGTTTTTTGAGACAGGGTCTTGCTCTGTTGCCCAGGCTGAAGTGCAGGCACCCACCACCACACCTGGCTAACTTCTGTATTTTCAGTAGAGACGGGGTTTCACCACATTGGTCAGGCTGGTCTCAAACTCCTGACCTCAAGTGATCCACCCACCTCGGCCTCCCAAAGTGCTGGGATTACAGGCATGAGGCACCGTGCCTGGCCTACAAGTTTTATTTATAAGATGATAAAATGTGGGAAATGACATGATGAAATGCTATATGAAAAAAGTAGGATTTGTATGTGGACAAAGATCGGAATAGCTCACATGTACTGAAAAGGATCTGTGCCACACAGAAGGAACCAGAGCATGCTATTTTTTTTCCATTTTCTAAGCGTTCCTTACTGTTGGGATGCTGATGATGCTGATGATGACCTTAAAGGAAAAGGAATCATCGCTTATGTTTGGCATGTGCTGTTTCTTGCCTTCTGATAAGAAGGTATTTCTACAATACACCACTGTCCTCTGCCCTCACTGAACTCCCCATCCCATCAATGTTAAGTGTTACCAACCTGATTTCCTCTCCCGAGTATCGGCGTAGAGGCCTTTAATATCTTGCCTGGGAACGCCTAGCCTGCTATGAACATCAGAAGAGGGCTCTCTCCGAACCACTGGGTTACTACTAAAAGCCTTTTCTGGAGAATACGGTCTTTTTCCTAACCGCTGGCGTATATCTGAAAGCAGAGAAAGTACAACAGTCACAGTGTATGTGCCTTACTCTTGGCACCATCTGCCTGAGACCTCTAAAGGATCTGCCACCAGCTCTCCCTAAGTGAGGACACAGGGCCTGACAAGCAGGCTGCTATGTATCTTTCCTTTGTCATCAGTCTGGATTTCCCTAGGAAAATTCGGACATAGGTGCTGTCAGGGGGAAAATCTTCAATTGATTGCTCCAGAGCTAAATTTTTGAAGAAACAATCTCTTTTTTTTTTTTTTTTTTAGCAGATTCAAGCAGACTAAATAATTTACAAAAGTTTCAGCTAACAAAAGAATCCTGTGAGCTCCCTGAGAGCAGAAGGCACAATCTGTGAACATATAAGTAGTTCCCAATAAAGACACTGGCAACCAGCAAAAGCAAAGGATAAAAATTTGTTTTTCCCTCCATCCCCTCAGAAGTCTGCCTGTCCCCTTGCGTTCCCTCTAACAACGACGGCAACAGCCGAAACACATTTGTCAGCGAGACCTTGTGCTGGGGCCTCATCTCTAACTTCTCTCGGAGAGCAGCACCCCGGCCTCTGCTCGCTCAGGCCCGAGCCCCTTCCTCTAGCACTTCCTAGCCCTGAGTCTTCCTTCACAGGACTTCCTGTTCTTTATCCATTGTCTCCGCTGACCTAGCTCAGGCTCCTGGTACTGATTTAACTCTCCACCCCACCCCACTGCACCCTCCAGTTATCTTTCTAACATAGATCTAAGACCAGGTTACTTCCTATCTAAAAAAATCAGGTTTGCCAACAAAGATGCTGCCCTTCTGCGGCCGCGCTCTAAAGCTACTTTCTCTAAGAGCCTTTCACAATCTCCTTAGTAGATCGGCAATGGCTGTGTGTCTCCTCCAAAGACCTCTCACGCTCCTAAGCACCCAGCCCTGCCTCAGACACATGGCAGGTTTGGCTAAACACCTGCTGAATGAGTGTTTGCACGTACCAATGATCTAGTGTAAACTCTTAACCATTCAGACAACCGCCCAGCTTAATTTCCATTATTCTTGTATATAAAGTATGCCAATGTCATACAGAGTAAAATATGGCTGGCGCAACTCATCCATGGGCTCCACATCTACAGATTCAACCAACTGCGGATCGAATATATTTGGGAAAAAAAAATAAGACATAACAGTCCAGCAAAAAGAAATACAGGATAAGAATTTATACTGTATTAGGTATTATAAATAATCTAGAGATGACTTAAAAGTATCTGAGAGGGTGTGTGTAGGTTACAGGCAGATAATATGTCACTTTAAGGGACTTAAGCATCAATGGATTTTGGTATCTGCAGATTTTGGTATCTGTAGGGGTACAGGGAGTTCCAGAAACAAACCCCCAGAAATACCAAGGAACGACTGTAATTATTTGGAATAAAAATATTTAAAACTAGTTTTGCAAAAGTCTGATTACTTTTCATTTCCTGAAATTCCAACACCTAGCCCAAAATCTAGACATGATGAGCCAGGACAGCGAAATGAGTTCACAAATGGCGTATTTTACCCAAGAACTCAACTCTGCCCCAGTCTGCTTTCTGGAGCTCAGAATACAGCCCAGAAACACAGCTGAAGAACAATACCTGATTTAGTGTTGCTGACTGGTGGCCGTGGACGCGAGTGCTGGCGTTTTTCATCTAATAGATGTCGGACATCTGCAAATTTCTCAGGTGGTGGTTTGTTACCAATTCGGTTTTTGATATTGCTTGAAGATACACTATCTGCCCTCATGGAGTTCCTTTAAAAAGGGGGTAGGACAGGGCACAGTTAACCAACTTCAGCTCTGAGACGAGGCCCAAACAACAATCTCATGCTTTGGAGGAAACAATTTAAGAAATTCAATTTAATATGGCCAACATTCATTACAAATCCATAAACTTACAATTATTTGCTTATGGAAACCATGAGCTACCTGCTATAAAGAGCCTGGTCTGGGTGAGCAGGTTTTCGAATGTGGTTTCCACACGTGTATGTGCTATCACAGAGCACGAGACTACCAGTCTCCCTCTCCTGGGACAGATGTTAAGTACAGGCCTACAAAGAGACTGGGGCTTCCGCTCACCCATGCTGTGATTTGGCTGTAGTCAACACACAGTGTAGTCTACAGTCACTCTCTTTAAAGGGCAGACTTCTCTTTCAAAAAGATATGCTACCATGCTAGGTAACAGCACGGTTCCGGTGGCATTCTCTACCAGAAAGTTCTCTGAAAACTAAAAATAAGAGTGTGAACAAGGCCATACAAACAAATCAGCTTGAATGGTCTTTTCTCCTCCCCATAAACACACCGAGAACACATGAGATAAAGCATCTCTAGACTTTAACCCTTGAATTGTGGATTCTGCCCGCACAGAATCTGCTCACCCCTAGTAGTCATCAAAGACATGCACACTGAAATAACTAATTCTTTTTTGTTCATGAAGCTAGCTAACAGTACAAAGAATGGTAATAGCTAAGGCTGGTGAGCATGTAGGTAATAGTGGTAATGTGTGTGATTAAAACCCTTCTGGAAAACAATTTAGCAATACTTACCACCTTTTAAAACATGTATATTGTTTTACATAATAACTGGACTTTGAAGAATTTATCTAGTTAGTGCGACGGTAAGAAAACAGAAACCTAAAGTCCATCAAAAAGGAATTAGTTAAATAAATCATGATACTTTCAATGGACTACATACAGTTGAAAAAATAACAATGTCTATAAAGTGAAAAATGCACAATGCAAAACTATAAATGGCATAACCCCATTTTTATAAGAAATATACTTTCATACAAATATATCTATAGTTTTTCCATGTACCATACACACATACACACAGCTGAAAGGTTATCCACCCAACTGTGAACAGTGTTACTGTCAGGAAAGAATGGGAATACAGGTGATTTTCACTTTCTATATTGTTTATAGCTTTTATAACAAGAATCGCTGCTTATATAGAGGAAACACTGGATGTGTTTATTAAACTCCTACAAGGGACTGACATCAGAATAGATGAAAGACATTATAAAATTAGGAGGAATTAAGAAGAAGTCACATTAGTATTGAAAATCAAATGAAAAGCTGGCATCGATAAAACAAAGTTTTTACCTAATGTTTTTCAACTGAGATTCCACTTCATCAGCATACATAGTCATTTTCATGCTCTTCTTTGGGGAAGGAGTGGAAATCATTTTAAGTTCCAGATCATAGTCCATTTCGTCTGAGTCCGAGCTGCTGGCACTGGACCGTCTGGATGCGCTCCGCTCTCGGGACTGCTTGAGAGCCGGGAGCTCCTCGTGGTACTCCACCACCACTCTGTCATCTGCATCCATGTCCTGGTCTTCCTCCTCCTCCTCCTCCTCCTCTTCCTCCTCCTCCTCCTCCTCTTCAATGGGTTCCTCAGGCACATTCACTAGTCCTGAAGAAATTTAATCAGAAAACATTAGGAAAAGCACTAAAATTAATAAGTATGATTTTCTACTCTACATCGGTGACCTTTTTAAAGACGGGGTTCCCATCCCTGACATTTTATAAGAGCACAATCTGTAATAGTGCTGACGGACATTACTCTGATACTGTTAACAGGAGCATGGCTAGGTAAAGTATGATGTAGCAACCTAATCAAATATCATAAAGTCACTTAAAATACACTGATCCATTATTCAACAGTTTTTGTATTTGCAAATTTGCCAAATTTATTTGTAACTCCAAAATCAACACTCGCAATGCTTCAGTGGTCGTTTGCTGACACGTACAGAATGGCAAAAAGCTCCGAGTCAGACACGCACACTCCCAGCTGAGGTCAAACAAAGCAACACTCTGCCTTCTTGTTTCATCTCATGCTGTAAACAAGTGTCTGTTTCAGTCTGCCGCTAGCCACATTTTTCACACTTCTGCACTTGCTCCTAGTGATTTCACTGCTTAAAACTGCCCCCAGTGTTCTGCTCGAGTGCTGCCTGGTGCTCCTAGATGCAACCAGGCTGTGATGGGCGGTGTTCAGCGTGAGTTTTAGGGCTACTGGCTATGAGTTCAATGTTAAATAAGGTGTCTTTAAACAGAAACACATATAACAAGGTACCATATTGATCCACTGACAAAAATGATGTGACCAGAGGCTATGCACGATTCAGTACTTGCTAATTCCGTATTCACAGTGACTTTATAGAACATAAGCCCCATGAATAATGAAAATCAATGGGAAAATACAATAAACAAAAGCAGCAGAATAGAAACTATACGTTCACAAGAGTTAACTATTTATTATGAAAATAGACAAATGGGGCCGGGCGCGGTGGCTCAAGCCTGTAATCCCAGCACTGTGGGAGGCTGAGGCGGGTGGATCACGAGGTCAAGAGATCGAGACCATCCTGGTCAACACGGTGAAACCCCGTCTCTACTAAAAATACAAAAAATTAGCTGGACATGGTGGCACGTGCCTGTAATCCCAGCGACTCAGGAGGCTGGGGCAGGAGAATTGCCTGAACCTGAGAGGCGGAGGTTGCGGTGAGCCGAGATAGTGCCATTGCACTCCAGCCTGGGTAACAAGAGCGAAACTCCGTCTCAAAAAAAAAAAAAAGAAAATAGACAAATGGGAAAAATGTGAGATGAACTCAGTTATCATACAGGGTACTAGAAATGGGGCAACTTCCTTTTTAATTTCCTTAATATGTACATAAAAACTGTATGATGAAAATATTTATAGTCAGTAAAACTGGAAACGCGTAACAGTGTAACAGAAAAGTATGTGTATTATTATTATTGTTGTTGTCGTTGTTGTTGTTATTTTGAGACAAGGTGTTGCTCTGTCGCCCAGGTTGGGACACAGTAACACCATCTTGTCTCACTGCAGCCTTGACCTCCCAGGCTCAGGCAATCTCAGCCTCCCAAGTAGACCATGCCTGGTCCGGCTAATTTTTTATTCTTTTGTAAAGACAAGGTCTCACTATGTTGCCCAGGCTCGTCTCAAGCTCCTGGTTTCAAGTGATCCTCCTGCCTCGGCCTCCCAAAGTGCTAGGATTATAGGTTGAGCCACTGTTCCCAGCCTAAGTATATTATTAATATGTAGATCTCAAATAAACAATGTTGTATATACACATTGAATAAAATGTCTAGACTTTATCCCTTTCTGTCCCCATTACAATCAATGTGTGTGTATGTGATTCTGTACGCTGACTTGACAAGTTCTATTATGCATGTAGAAGAGTCCACGTATTAGGCTCAAAATAAGAACAATTCATTATAAAACATAATGAAAATGGTTCTTTTACAAATAAGCACCAAAAAGGGAGAAAGAAACCCACTTTTCTGATATTTCCCTTTTCTGAGGCATTCACATGCACAAACCAACAAGCACAAAGCACTCAACACAGCAGCCTATTTTTATTACAGAAAAAGAAAAATACCATCAGTTTATATGACAAAATAATTTTAAAAATTGTTTCCAGCCGGGCGTGTTAACTCACGCCTGTAATCCCAGCACTTTCAGAGGCCAAGGAGGGCAGATCACAAGGCCGAGGAGGGCAGATCGAGACCAGCCTGGCCAACATGGTGAAACCCATTTCTACTAAAAATACAAAAATTAGCTGGGCGTGGTGGTGCACGCCTGTAGTCCCAGCTACTCAGGAGACTAAGGCAGGAGAATCACTTGAACCCAAGAGGCAGAGGTTGCAGGGAGCCAAGATCATGCCACTGCACTCCAGCCTGGGCGACAGAGCGAGACTCTGTCTAAAAATAAAACAAAATTGTTTTCATGCAGCTGTTGATATTAATAGTTGAAAAATTAGGATCCTAAAAAAAGGTTTAATTTTCCCTCTGTCACATTTGGCCTTTTTGATAGAACAGCTTTTATAAAATCATTTGATCTCTTTGGGTAACTTAAAATTAACTGTGACTTGACTTACTTTCCTATATGTTGGCAGAGGGTGAGGGCAAGGAAGAGAGGATGATAAAGTTTGGAACCTTAAAAGATTGTATTAAGAATAAAAATATGATTTCAGGAGCCAAACATGTGTCTACCCAAGAGCTGAGCAGGCAACTACCAGAATGCCGATGTTTATACGACGTCAAGCCAACGTCATCCCCAATCAGGGCTCTCTTCTTGATCACGTCCCGCTGAATACGACGGGAATGATATCTTCGCTTCCTGCAAGAATGCCAAAATAAGCATACAATCAAAAACTAACAGGAAGGACCTTGAAATCCACTAGCCCATTTCTTTCTTTCTTTCTTTTTTTTGTGATGGAGTCTCTCACCGTCTCCCAGGCTGAAGTGCAGTGGCTATCTCAGCTCGCTGCAACCTCCGCCTCCCGAGTTGAAGCAATTCTTCTGCCTCAGCCTCCTGAGTAGGTGGGACTACAGGTATGCGCCATCACGCCTGGCCCATTTTTGTATTTTGAGTAGAGACAGGGTTTCACCATGTTGGCCAGGCTGGTCTAGAACTCCTGACCTCAAGTGATCCATTCGCCTCGGACTCCCAAAGTGCTGGGATTACAGGCGTGGGACACTGCATCTGGCCTCACTAATTCACTTCAACTACACACTGACAGAATGTTAGGTACTAAAAGAGATATTTTCAATGTAACTAAAACTCAGCATTCCCCATCATTTACCACATTTCAGAATCTTGAATTCTTCCCTCATCTCCTTCCAGTCTACACGGGGTTTAGACATTTCACCACAGGATACTAACTGAAGGATTAAGAAAAACTTAAATACTTTTGCATTTTAAGGTTTTGGGCTCACCATGAATTGCTAAGAATTCCTTTCATGCCTCCGTAATTTGGATTCCCGTATTTCATGTAATACTGACTTCTTCTGGCTGCTCCAAGTTCCTTTTTGTCATCTAAAAATTAATTACAATAGTTACCTAGGATTTCCTGGGAGTGTGAAGGCAATGTTGAATGTTTTCTGTTGTTTTTTTTTTTTTCTTAATGATTTCCATAGCTGGAATCAGATCAGCGCAATTTGCAAACAAACAGGAAAAGTCCACTACCAAATTCACACTCTGAATGCCCACCACAACAGTTGAGTGTAGAGGGGATAAAGCCAAATACAGAGACAAACAAGGTTACAACTGCTGTTTTGGAGCCAAATGACTTAACGGGGAAATAAAAATAAACAATACAAGACACAAGGTTCCAAGAGGCATAAACAGCTTTAGGTCATTGCAGGTACTCAGGAATCAAAAAGGCTTTCTCAAAATGGCATTTTTGCTACCCCATGAAAGATGATACTCACTTCTGAATAACAACACGCCAACAACACAGAATCAGGATGAAGGAAACAGAGTGTATATAATTCCATATATTTGGTAAATCATTTTTTCCAGCTTACTGTGTTTCTCAAAATGGCTTAAAGAAAATGGCATAGTACTATACATCTAGAATGTACTCAATCAACCACTCAAGTGAGTAAATGTGGTATATTTGTCAAGTTAAAACGTCGGTTAACAGGAAAGAAAGGTGGTCAGTGATGATAAATTTTTGTCCAAAGCAGTAATACAAAGGCCTTCCACGGTTCTTGGATACACTCATAGTAAATAACAAACACCACTGTAAATACACCCAGTGCTGCAGGTAAATGTGACAACACAAACTGGTATGCACAGCCCCCAACCCTGAACCCCTCAAACCATGCCCACCAGCTCCTTGGAGAAATGGCTGATTCCAGATGTGGAGCAGGTAAGATCCAAAATGAGTCTGGAAAAGCAAGATGCTTTGTTGTGCCGTAAAGTAAGAAAGCGCTTAAAGAATCATGGAGTACATCACAACAGCTTGAAGGGGCTCTACTGGGCAAATCCAAGACAATTTGTAAATTAAAATACTCATATTAATGGATGATAACCCACTGAATAAAGAATCCATGATTCTAAATTGATGTAAATAAGCAAACAGGTAAAAACAGAAAGCTCCTCCTTACAGCACCTGTCTACTAGTAAGAAATGATGTAGTCAGAAAGACATCAACACATATTAAAAGCAGGAAATGCTGACGGCAACAGGCTATTTACATGAGCTCAAAGGATCTGCTCACGAAGTTTTTATTTTATTCATTTTTAAAATTGTTGTTGTTGTTGTTGTTGTTGTTTTGAGACGGAGTTTCGCTCTTGTTACCCAGGCTGGAGTGCAATGGCGCGATCTTGGCTCACCGAAACCTCCGCCTCCTGGGTTCAGGCAATTCTCCTGCCTCAGCCTCCCGAGTAGCTGGGACTACAGGCACACGCCACCATGCCCAGCTAATTTTTTGTATTTTTAGTAGAGACGGGGTTTCACCATGTTGACCAGGATGGTCTCGATCTCTTGACCTCGTGATCCACCCGCCTCGGCCTCCCAAAGTGCTGGGATTACAGGCGTGAGCCACCGCGCCCGGCCTCATTTTTTAAATTTTTAAAAATAGGGATGAGGTCTTGCTATGTTGCCTAGGCTGGTCTTGAACCTCTGGACTCAAGTGATCGTCCTGCTTTAGCTTCCCAAAGTGTTGCAATTACAGGCATGAGCCACTGCAACCACCAGCCCATCAATTTTTAAAACACAAATGGAAAAACAGTAACTTTACAGTGGAAAAAATCTAGTGATTATTGCCTTCGCCAAGTGAATAAAGTGAACATCCCTAGGAATGGGACGAGTAAGTGTCCCAGGTCTCCTGATATGATGCACTGGAAATGACATGACATTGCTTCCGTGGCATGCCTGCCTCAAATGCACAACCCTAATTCAACCAGGAGGAATCATCAGACACACCCAAACCGGGGACATCCTATAAAACAGTAAGCCTACACTCTTGGAAATTATGGGAGGACAGGAGTTGCTCCAGATTAAGAGAGGCTAAGGAAACGTGACATCCTTAAAGACACTCAGTCCTGGATTGGATCCTAGACCGGGAGGCTGGGTAGGGAATACAGAAGCGACATTACTGGAACAGCTGACAACACTTGAATATGGACTACGGATGGGGTAACAGTGCTCTATTAATGTCAGATTCATTGATTTCGATGAGTGTGCTATGTGTAAGACAATGTTCTTGTTCTCTGGAATACATATTCAAGTATTTAGGGGTGACGAGTTTTTATCTTCAACTAACTCTCAAAAAAACAGTATTTGTATATGTGTATACATATATACACATACACACACACACATTTTTAAACGCCCGCCAAAAGTCACTGTGTGCAAAAAAGTTTTATAAGGCGGGGATCAGAGCTTAATGTTATATTGGCAATGTTCAGGAGGATCCTGCTGCAACAGATTAAAAAGTTTCATTTTAAAGTTTTCATAATTCAGATGTAACTCGCTGAAAACACATGGGGCAAACCAGTTTTAACAGAAAATCACTTACTTTAGCTAGAAGTCACAGAAGTATACAAACATATTCACTTTAAAAGTGCAGCAAGCCCTTATTTCATAAGCAAGAATATTATAGTTTGAAGGGAACTTTGAGATTACTTGATCTAACTTCTACTAAAAAAAAAAAAGGATGTCACTCCACAATAAATCATTTTGATTGAAAATACAAAACAATACCAAATAAAAATTTACCTTTTGTGGCAAATCTCATGAATAACCTATTTCCTTTAGCAAGTTTGTTAGCTGGACGAAGATCGTTTCTTAACAAAGACTCCTCTTCTACCTGAGACAACGTGTCCAACTTAAGAAAGAAGAGTATTTTTAATATAAAAATTAAAGTCCTTTCCATATTTCTTCAGTAGACAAGTTACCATTAAGAAAAGCATTCTACCTTTAATACGTACAAGCGTTATAGCACCAGTTCCTCTGCAGAATTTCTAACTCAGAGGTTTCCCGCCCACCTTGTCTAAAGGAACAGTCTTTCCTGTTTTCACAGCATCTGTCACCAGCTGACACAGTATTAGGATCTGTGCATCGGGGTATCATCTGTATTCTCCACTAGAATGCAGGCTCCAAGAGGGCCAGGACTTTGTTTTGCTTGAGGCTTTATCCCTGGCACTTAGAATATGGCATATAGTAGGTACTCAGTAAATATTTTTTAAATGAATATATGCTAATATTTCTGACAGTAGTACATATTCCATTAGGAAATATGTTGTTACTTGCTGTTTCTTAATTTTACCAATTAGATAACACTTCAAAATATTTCTCAATAAAACTATTTTCTTTTTTGTAGAAGGATGAGCACTATTCTGGGGTTTCAAGGTAAATTGTTACATCCACATGACCTTAAAGGACAAGCGCCTTGTGCACCCTCAGAAGGTCTCACGGTGAAAGCTAGAGGAAAAACACAACTAAGTCTTTAAGGCTTAAATTAAAAAGACAGTAAGCATTTTTTCCAACAGAGCCTGACATCTACCTTTGCCCTATTACTAACCTCTACATCACTTGCGTTCTCGTCTTCAACCTCTCCTTCTTCAGCTTCATCATCATCTGAACTGTCTTCCTGCTTGTCTAACATGGAATGTGAAGGACAAGACAAAACAAGGTAAATGATTTCATATAATGAGATACAGGATGAACTATTTCATGTAATTTTATAAGTCCAGTATTTTCCCCTTTGCTGATGATCTAAAGCATTGTAGATGACTTCAGAACCACCTGGTGATGAGAGGCTACAGCACTCTCCTGAGACACGCACAGCGCACAACGGGACTGCGTGAAGAAGAGGACTCTCAGACCCAAGTTCCCTCTTTTGTTCACTTACCTTTTTTACTTTTCTCAGATGCCTTGTCCTCACTGGCATCCCTGCTTCTTATCTTATCCTGTGCAGGCAGAGAGCTCATATTGATAAGGGCTCGTGTAGCTGTCATTTCATCCAGCCAAACTACATTACCTGAAATAAAATATAAAATAAGACGTTACAAGGCACGCAAATAGTAAGTTTCCTGAGAGCAGATTCTGCACTGCATTCAACACTATGGCCTCATCTAGCAAAAGATTATCATCAGTAGATATACAAACCAACTAATGAAGAGGACTATGGGCCAGGGACAGTGACTCACACCTGCAACCCAGTACTTTGGGAGGCCACAGCAGGAGTGAGATCGTCCTGGGCAACGCAGTGAGACCCTGTCTCTACCAAAAATACAAAAATCAGCTGGGCATGGTGGCATGAGCCCGTAGTCCCAGCTGCTCGGGAGGCTGAGGTGGGAAGATGGATTGAGCCCAGGATATTGCGGCTACCACTCAATTCCACAGGATATTGAGGCCGAGGTCATATCACTGCACTCTAGCCTGTGGAACAGAGTGAGGCTTCATCTCAAAAGAAATGAAAAGTTAAAAATAAATAAAAAAGAAAGAAGAAAGAAAGAAAGAAGAGAGAGAAAAAGAAAGAAGGAAGGAAAGAAAGGCGGAAAGGAAAGAAAAAGAGGGGGAGGGGGAGGGGAGGGGAGGGGAAGGGAAGGGGAAAGAAGAAAGGGCAGACATGGTAGTAAAGCCTTTCTGACGAAATTAGCCTAGAGCTGCATTTCCAAATTGGGTTCTACAAAATAACTTAAGCATTCCATGAAAAAGGGTTGTGTATATTAACACTATTGGAATAAAACACAGGTAGTTAAATACTTATTATGCATTAGCAGTTCTTGATGATGATCATAGCTGTCAGGTAAGTTTGGATTACCCTTATATACCACTGCCCCCTACAGGGAAGCCCTCTGTCATTCCTTGCTGTCAGGAAATGCTAAATGATGTCCCCCTTCATCACTCCCATTGTAAATCGTGCGTGATGAAGGTATGCACGGCGTAAGTTTAATGGAGGCATGACAGCCAGTTGGCTTTGTAGCAACTAAATTAATGTGCCCCTTTAAGGAAGATAATTTAGCAAGAAAAGGGTTTTGAGAAGTCTTATAGAAAATAAACCACTTTAACTCTGTTTAAAACAGCATTTCTCAAAATTATGTGTCCCCCGTATCTGAGTTTGGGAAATGAGGGTCTGAAGGCTCTCACTTCTGTTACTAACGTGCCATGTGGCCTTAAGCAAATATTTTCCTTCCTCTGTTTCTCAGGTTCTGATATACAAGGTAGGTGAATCAGGTAATTCTGAGGGTCCCAACAATTCTAACGTCCCTTAGCTACAGTTTTAAAAACTTAAATCAGGGTTAGTAAACTAGAATCCTCCGGCAAAATCTAGCCCACCACCTGTTGTTCGTTTATATTTGCACCAGCTTTATGTAGGTATAATTAATGCACAGTAAAGTACACACCTACCGCCTGTTTTTTTGTTTTGTTTTGTTTGAGACGGACTCTCACTTTGTTGCCCAGGCTGGAGTTCAGTGGTGCTTTCTCAGCTCACTGCTGCCTCCATCTCCTGGATTCAAGTGATTCTCCTCCTCAGCCTCCTGAGTAGCTGGGATTACAGGTGTGCATCACCACCCCCAGCTAATTTTTATATTTTTAAGTAAAGGCAGGGTTTTGCCACGTTGGCCACGCTGGTCTTGAAACTCTTGACCTCAAGTGACCCGCTCACCTTGGCCTCCCAAAGTGCTGGGATTACAGGCGTGAGCCACCGCGCCCGGCCTAGCACCTGTTTTTGTAAATAAAAATCTACTGAAAAAATAAAAATAAAAAAAGGAAAAAAAAGAAAAATCTACTGGAAAACAGCCAGGCTCACAGTTGATGTATGATTTAAAGTTGCTTGCATGCTACCACAGCAGAGCTGAGTAGATGTGACAGAGACCATTAAGCCTATAAAGCCTAAAATGACTGCATTCCAGCCCTTTATAGAAAAAGGTATGTCAATTCCTGATTTGGATAGTGTAAGTTAAACAGAAAGAAAAAAGGAGAAAAATGTTTCACTCGGTCATGTTTCTTCTTTCAATGAACACACTCCATCAACATCTTCCTAAGAGGGCAGCTAAGAAAAACAGGCTGCTATCTAGGGTGCTACCTAGTAGGTCAGCCAGCTGGCAGCAAGTAAAGCCGGACGAGAAGTGAGTCAAGACAAGAAGCCAGCAAAGCAGTAAGCAGAGGTCAGTCCAGACTGACAGCAAGGAGGCGAGTTTACAATGACAGTTAGCCCACAAGTTGGAAAGCTCGTAGGTTAGGGCAAGCAGGTGACATTCTAGAACCCGCAGTTCAAGGCAAGCAGAAATGAGAGGTCTGGTACAGTGTCAAGAGCATTCTGGTCTAGCTCTAGGTCACAGACACAGGCAGAGTCAGAAGGTAGCAATGACAAAGTCCAAGGCCCTGAAAATGCAGCCCCAAGTCTATGTAGTTGGATCCTCTCCTTTATTGGGAAAAGTGAGTGTTAAAGAGGCCTCAGTCAAGTACGCCAGATTCAGATGCCAGTAACCCACCTCCTAGAGTCCTGGTCACCACCTAGGCTGACTTGGAATACTGACGGGGTGTGAGCTGGCAGACTGGTTAGGGCATGCCAGGTTTCGTCGTTGGACAATGTTTTCTCTGCTAGACTAAGAGCAGAAGCTATACATGAATGAGTGGTATGGGCCATAATTATTCACCATCTCCGATGGCAAGAACGCTTGCAAAATCATCAACAAAAGCATATTCACATAAAACTCGGGGGTACTTACAGGAGGTATCATCCAACCATTCGATGTGAGCTGGAGGGTATTCTTTAAAATAGGAAAAGACATCCTGGGTGCTCATCTCATCTACTCCACAAATATAGATTGTCTCCAGTCTCACTTTGGGGATTGCTGGAAAGACAAGACACAGAAAAGATGACAGAATTTTCCTACCCACAACTGCACATCCCATCAGTTCTCCTGTCTAATAGTTCAGATAACCTGAGTTTAGGAAGAAATATGCTCAGACATACTACAATTATTTCAAAAGAGCATGAGACATAACAGTAAGGTAAACTACCTTAATTTTTATCCCTGAATAAGAGCATTAATATAATTCACAACAGGCTCAGAAAGATTCAACAAAGGTGTTGATAAATACATGATACCTCTCCTCACATTAATCTGTAGCAATCAGAGCAATATCAAGCTCCACGGGAGTATCTGTTGAAGTTAACTAGCTAATTCTAAAACTCTTAAATGTACGTTAAAAAGAAATGTGCATTACTGGAGACAATTCTGAAAGAGAAAAGATGCTACCCGTGGATACGTCAAAGCACGGAACTAGAGTAAAGAAATCGTACAAGTCAGTTAAAAAAAAAGACAATCCAAAATAAAAATGGGCAAAGGACATCAGTCTGTGATTTACATACAAGGAAATACAAAAGGCCAATACACACGTGCAGAGATGGGCTGACTTCACTACCAATCGTTAACACGCGCATTAAAACAAGAAGATGCCAGTTTCCACTGACCAGATTTTACATCTTATTTCCCCACATCTCCGGTACTTGAATGGAGAGATTTCACATCTTATTAGTATGAAATGTTGGCAGGAAGTAGGGGGAAGAGCTACTTCCCCTGCTGGTGGGAGTATGAATCGGCATCGTCACTCAAACTGTAAGTGTCTATTAAAAATGTGATTTTGCACATGCCCTACAGATCTAGAATTTTATTCCTCAGTATTGGCCCTAAATAAACCCAAACATTTGGATTCACAAAGTAGCTCACACAAAGATACTCGCTGCAGCACTATTTCTAATAACCCAGTAGTTCCCAGGGTAATAAATCATGTTTTATCCACACTGTAAAATATTATGTGGTTAAAAAAAAAAATGAAATAAATTATATACCACAGAAAGATTCTAAGGTGCATTACTGAGTGAAAAAACAAGTTGTAAAAAATTACATACATGGTGATGACATTTTTAAAAAACGCACAAAACAAAACATTTACAAAGGGTGCATATTTATGTACGCAAACACCTAGCAAAGGCCAGGCCTCGGATGAGTCACACTGACGATAGCTGTTACTTCTGAGGAGGGAGAAAGGTTCACGACTGTGGTCAAAATGGAAACTTAGCCTTATCAGGATTGCATACTTTTTTTTTTTTGAGATGGAGTCACACTCTCTCACCCAGGCTGGAGTACAGTGATGTAATCTCGGCCCACTGCAACCTCCGCCTCCTGGGTTCAAAAGAGATTCTCCTGCCTCAGCCTCCTGAGTAGCTGGGACTCCAGGTGTGCATCACCACACTCGGCTAACTTTTGTATTTTTAGTTAGAGACAGGGTTTAGTAGAGACCATGTTGGCCAGGATGGTCTCTATCTCTTGACCTTGTGATCCGCCTGCCTTGGCCTCCCAAAGTGCTGGGATTACAGGAGTGAGCCACTGCGCCTGGCCAACTGCATATTTTTTTACTACATATTTTAAGTACATTATCTCCTTTAATCTTAATTGCAAAGTATGTAACTATATCAATATGAAAAAATAAATTTAAAATACCTATATATCTACTACCTGGCTTTATGCTTAATTCCTTGTAAGAGCTCAGGCACACAGAACATTACATATGAAACTGGGGCCCGTATTACCTCTCTACATTCCTTCTCTCTCTTCCTTCTCTGAGGCAATTCTGTCAAGGAGTGGTTCATGGGTCCAAAAAAAGTAGAAAGCGTGAATAAGACCTACTGTTTAATAGCACAATAGGGTGACTACAGTTAATAATAACTTAATTATAAATTTTTAAATAACATAAAGAGTGTGATTGGATTGTTTGTAACTCAAGGGATAAACGCTTCAGGGGGCTAGGCACTCTGGAAGGCCGAGGGGGGCAGATCACTTGAAGTCAGGAGTTTGAGACCAGCCTGCCCAACACAATGAAACCCCATCTCTACTAAAAATACAAAAAATTAGCCATTCGTGGTGGCGTGTGCCTGTAGCCCCAGCTACTTGGGAGGCTGAGGCAGGAGAATCACTTGAAGCCAGGAGGCGGAGGTTGCATTGGGCCAAGATTATGCAACTGCCCTCCAGCCTGGGTTACAGAGCAAGACTCCGTCACAAAAAACAAAAACAAAAACCAAAAAAACTTGAGGGGATGGATACCCCATTCTCCACAATGTGCTTATTTCATGTCACATGCCGGTATCGAAACATCTCATGTACCCCATAGATACATATACCTACTATGTACCACAAAAATTAAAAAATAATAATTTAAAAAAAGAATTTAATGTCCATTACTCCCAGACATGTTTTTATATGCTATTAACAAAATTTTAAAAATATTTAGCCCATCTTTCTTCTGCAGATATATGCTACTACTTCTATTAAAACAAACAAAAAATTACAAATTAAAAAATGTGTTTAATAACTTTAAACAGGTAATAATCTTAAATCTCAAAGAGTTAAGAGATGTGTTACCAGGAGCCCATGTAAGTGTGGCCAGACTAATGCAGGTGAGTACTTTCCTGACATCCCAAATTAGACATGATAAAGACACCAAGATGTATGAATCCAGCCGGGCATGGTGGCTCATGCTTGTAATCCCAGCACTTAGGAGGCTAAGGTGGGAGGACTGCTTGAGCTCAGGAGTTTTCTATAAAAAATTTTTAAAATTAGCTGGGTGTGGCGGTGTGCGGCTGTAGTCCTAGGTATCAGGAGGCTGAGGTGGGAGGATCACTTGAGCCCAGGAGGCTACGGCTGCAATGAGCCATGATCACATGACTGCACTCCAGCCTGAGCAACAGAGTAAGACCTTGTTTCAAAAGGAAAAAACCACCATGCCCAGCTAATTTTTGTAGAGATGGGGTTTCACCATGTTGCCCAGGCTGGTCTTGAACTCCTGACCTCAAGTGATCTGTCTTGGTCTCCCAAAGTGCTGGGATTGCAGGCATGCACCACTGTACCCATCGCCTCCATTTTTTTCCTTTTTTTGTATCCTTACCTGCTTCTTTTGAACAGGATTATCCATTGCCTAAGTTTTGAATGTATATGACATTCTCTAAATTAAAATACACATGTGAGGCTGGGTGCAGTGGCTCATGCTCGTAATCCCAGCACCTTAGGAGGCCGAGGTAGGAGGACTTGAACCCAAGAGTTTGAGACCAGCCTGGGCAACACAGTAAGACCGTCTTTATTTTTTAAAAAGAGACATCCGAGGCCAGAAATTTTGTTCCTTATATTCTTTCTCTTTTGCTTTTCAGGATTTCTTCACCTGTAGGTCTGGCTTTAACACTGTAATGTTAAAACAACGTTAGAATGCCCTTGACAATTATTTCTGTCACTTTTTGGTCTTTGTTTCTAGGCTAGTCTCATTTAAGATTAATTTTTTTTTAGTCAGATCAACAAGTCTCCTATCTACGTTTTTTCTCCCTCCTCCTCAGTTTGCTTCCTCTAACATCACTCGGGGCCTCCTTGCTTTCTGTTACCTTCTGTGAAACAATCTCTTTGCTTCCCACAGGCTCTTTTTGTTCCAAAATCATGACTTTTAACTCCAAGAACCAAGAAGACCCTTGGACTGAATAAATATTTGTTTTCCATCCTCCATTTAGGCCTCTGTTCACCATTGCACTGCCGGTTATTAATAAGGATTTCCTGGGGTTCCCCAGAGAAGAGAAGGTAGCAAATTTTAGGTGACCATAACTCGCCAAAGCACACATGTGGGAGACAGATGAACTGTGACGAGAATGGCACAAATCTGAACCACTCATGCCAGGCGATACAGTAACATGGAAATGCTGACCACAGACTGACAAGGAAAAAGGAAAAAAGCAGTGTGACTACAAAGGGAAAAACAGAAGTTCCAGAAGAGATGAGAAGGAAATACACAGAATGTTGACAAGGACTGCGTCTGGGTGGTAGACTGTGGGCTTCCTGTTCTCTCTTCCAAATGTGCTTTGGTGAGCATGAACTGTTTGTAAAAGAGCTGATGAAGAAAAGATTATAGTCCAGCGTGAACAAGCTCATCAAACATGCTGACAGCGGCCGGGCGTGGTGGCTCCTGCCTGTAATTCCAGCACCTTGGGAGGCCAAGGAGGGCAGATCACCTGAGGTGGGGAGTTCGAGACCAGCCTGACTAACATGGAAAAACCCCATCTCTACTAAAAATACAAAACTAGCCGGACATGGTGGCGAATGCCTGTAATCACAGCTACTTGGGAGGCTGAGGCAGGAGAACCGCTTGAACCCAGGAGGGAGAGGTTGCGGTGAGCTGAGATCACATCACCGCACTCCAGCCTGGGCAACAAGAGCAAAATTCCATCTCAAAAAGAAAGAAAAAATAAAAGAAAATGCTGACGGCTTTCTTTTTGTAACTGTTTAGAGCAAAACCTGCTTTGGGAAGATGATGGGGAAAAAAAGGCAAAAAGGCAGAACTGTTGACCTATTTTGTCATTCTACTGACAACTGTCATTAAAGAACAGTGAAAACTCAGGTTAGGTGACAAGGCCGTAAGAATTAGTTTTAACAGATTTAAATCTTCTAGTGTAGAATTATATCCCAAGGTACTACTCAAACACACAGCTATGATCTCAGAATTAGGTAATAATCTCTAAAAAGTAGCAGGGAAGGAGAAAAGTATCTTAAAACTGTGAGGACTAATCCTGTAGAAGTTTTCATTAAAAAAAAAAAAAAAAGAAAGAAAGAAAGAAAAAAGAAAGGAAAAATTCCCAAACTGAATATTGAAAAGCTCACTGTCAGCCTCTGAAATTAAAAAAAAAAAAAAAAACTTATTAGACAGTTCTATGATCCCTTAAAAAATCAAGTCTTAGGCCAGGTGCTGTGGCTCACGCCTGCAATCCCAGCACCTTGGGAAGCTAAGTGCGGAGGATCGCTTGAACCCAGAAGTTGAAGACCCCCCTGGGAAACTAGTGAGACCTCATCTCTAAAGAACAAATAAATAAATAACCAAATCTTTCCCATAGGGAATGACAACAGTTCAGTAAAAAACAAGCTCCAAACTTTGGATGGAATTAAAAAAAAAGAAGAAGAAAGCCACACTAATCTCATTTCAACCTCATTTCTTTTTTGATAGGATTACCAGGTCAAGACATTCAGAAAATACATAGATGGTGTTCTATTTCAAGTTCATTAAGGCATGTAATCCCGTTCCTCATGACTGTAAAATGAAATGTGGGCTTTATGATAATAGAATCAGACTTATGATACCGGAATAACTGTCCACCAATCACCACCCACTGGATGAAGAAACAGAAGCCACGCATGCCACAGTGGGGAGGAACAGGACAGAGCAGAGCTGCGAGCTGAGAGGTAGAGTTGTGATGAAAACTAACAGACTGAAAACAGAGGTTTGAAATCAACGAGATGTAATTTAATAGGAATACAATGAAAAGTAATTATTTTTTAAAGCCTCAAGTACAAGATGTGAAGGACTGTTCTGATGGGCACACTTCCTGGGGAAAGAGCTAGGTGCTTCAGCTGCATATAGGATGAGTGCAACACACCATGAAGTGGCTGAGACAGAGACCGTGGTGACAGCCCTGCCACTCTACCTGCGCATCTGACCACAACTGGAACCTGCATCTCGCCTCATAAGAACATTCAGAAACTGGAAAGTGTTTAGAGAAGGGAAACAGAAAGTCGCGTCACATGAAGAAAAGTTGAGCGAACAGGCAGTGGGCCTGTGCTTCCACCACATACAAAAGGACTTCAGTGTTGTTTTAATAGTCACACAGTCACTAACAGACAGTAATTGCTAGAAGGCAATGCTCAACACAAGTAAGCATCCAAAAATAAAGTTGTCTGCCTCACAGTTCTCATGCCATCACTTAAGAAACATTCAAGCAGAGGCCGAAAGACCATGAGGAAGTTTGCCAAAAAGCCTGCAGCGCTGGGCAGGTAACCCAAGGTCTCTTCCAACCACAAGAGCTTTGATCTTGGGGATAAGGAGGCTGAAGCTGTTTGACACCGAGTCATTCAAATGCAGCAAGTCACTCTTGATGCAGAATAGTCTGGTGTAGCACATCCCAGACTGAATGCTGGCAGGACAGGTAGGAACACAGGCTTCAGTCAGATCAGCCTTCCAACCTCAGCTGTGCCACTGACAGAGCTGTGGGACTATGAGCACATTTCCCAACCTCTCAGCACCTTAAATTTTCTCATCAGTGAAACGGAAATAATAAACACCTTTTCCTCAAAGGGCCGTTGGCAGAATAAGTTAATTACACAGCAAAGTGACTGGCACATAGTAAGCATTTGACAAATCTGATCTTTTATTACTATTGTTGGTATTAACAACAAATGACTTGAACTAACTGGACCCCTGGCGTGGATGCAGGCGTCAACATGCTTATTCCAATTTCCCCACTCTCCCAAGAAGCTCGGTCACTGAAAGCACTGCTGGGAAGGTGGAGAATACCAGAGGACGATGACAGCTGACATTAACTGGGCACCTGCTGCGTGCCAAGCGTCACTCCACCAACTGTGACATTCTGTTAGTTTCCCAGCAGCCCTGTCATCTGCCTTTCCAGATAAGGAAGCTGAGATTTTTAGAGGCTAAATATCTTGCCCAAGGGCACAGAGCTAGAAAGTTACAAGTTAAGATCTAAATCCAGGTAACTGGGCTTCAGAGCTCATGCTCATAACCACAAAATCAATAGTTCTCAATCCTGGCTGCACATTAAAATCACCTGGGAAGATACAAAAACAGTAACTCTCATCCAGCTGCGGTGGCTCACACCTGTAATCTGGCACTTTGGGAGGCCAAGGCGGGTAGATCACAAGGTCAGGAGTTCAAGACCAGCTTGGCCACCATGGTGAAACCCCATCTCTACTAAAACTACAAAATTAGCCGGGCACAGTGGAACATGCCTGTAATCCCAGCTACTCGAGAGGCCGAGACAGGAAAATCATGTGAATCCGGGCAGCAGAGGTTGCAGTGTGCCAACATGGTGCCACTGCACTCCAGCCTAGGTGACAGAGCGAGACTCCGTCTCAGAAAACAAAACCAACAGCTATCCCTGGGACCTATCCAACCCCAACTAATGTAAACTGATCTGAGACGGGCAGCAGGAACACTATCCTAGGCCATGCTGACTCCTGGATGAAGAACAGACTGAAATAAGCAAACTTCCCCAGCTGACATCCCAGGGCAGACCTTACTGCCTTTTTTAGGAATATCTTTAGAACCATGAGATTGGAGTTGTATTTTAAAAAAAGGAAAAAAAATTTTTTTAATTAAAAGTTAACCCCAAATGAGATCCTAAGTATCGTATTTATATTTTACAGACAAGGACATTGAGACTAACAAGGCTCAAGAACTCACCCACAGTCACAAAGGAACTAGATTCCAGGAGGAGGTGAGAAACCACTTCAAGTGGGTAAGCAGAGATGCTTCATGGAGGAAGTGACACCTGACCAGAGACAAGGCATGCAACAAGGAAGGGCAAATGCGCAGAGTGAAAGGCATGAACCATATCAGAGGCAAGCTGCCTCAAGGAACGCTCTCAGGACCAGAAGATAACAGGTGTGATAATAAGTGTCTAGAGCAGGGAGGAAAAGAAAAAACAAACAGGTGTGATAAAACCATGATTCCCTCAAGGTAGAGCTGTGAGAAAGGACCCTGACTGCAGGCACCTGACAGCACGTGGCCTGCACAGGACTTCCTCAAACAGAAACCCCCGCCCACGAGGGAAGCAAGGTTGTGTTTCTGACCTGAACGAGTCATGCAGGTTAAAGAGTGAGGCGGCTCTAGAGTTCAGCTCTGCTCCACACTACTGTGCCGTTGGGACTCACTGAGGGGGGACACCATGTCAGTCACTAGCACCATATCCTACACCGAACGGCAGCAGAGCCAAGGAGTTAAGAGCGAGGCTGGAGAGTCCGATAAACCAGGTTTGAATCCTGATTCCACCTTTTCTAGCTACATAACCCTGGGCAATTTATTAAACTACTTTGAGCCTGCTTCCTCCTTTGTAAAATAGGGATCAAAATATATTCCTCAGGCCGGGCGCAGTGGCTCAAGCCTGTAATCCCAGCACTTTGGGAGGCCGAGGCGGGTGGATCACGAGGTCAAGAGATCGAGACTATCCTGGTCAACATGGTGAAACGCCGTCTCTACTAAAAATACAAAAAATTAGCTGGGCATGGTGGCGTGTGCCTGTAATCCCAGCTACTCAGGAGGCTGAGGCAGGAGAATTGCCTGAACCCAGGAAGCGGAGGTTGCGGTGAGCCGAGATCGCGCCATTGCACTCCAGCCTGGGTAACAAGAGCGAAACTCCGTCCCAAAAAAAAAAAATATATATATATTCCTCACAGAGTTGCTGTGAGCAACAAAAAAGACATATGCAATGTGCTTAACAGTGTCTGGTAAAGAAGCAAGGTCACAAAAACAGCAGCTATTCTTTCATTCATTCAACATATTTACAGAGCTTTTGCTTTTATCAACCAAACAAGGTCGCAGAAGCTCACACAATACAGCAGAGGCCTTTACCGTGTGTTCGGAAAAGCTGCCTACTGAGCCCTTTATGAACACCCAAATGTGCAAACACCACAGAGGGAAGCCTTTTGCATTCATGGATTTATATTAGAGCAGAATAATAAATAAGAACATAGACTCACTAAAAAAGTAGTAATTTTCCCTTTTATTTATAAATTGTTTTAGAAAACTGTAGCAGATTATACTATAATTCAAGGTGAGTTCTAGGGTGCAAAATACGCCAACAAAACACAAAAGTGAAATAAAATCACAAGTGCAACTGGAAGGGCAGGCTTAAAACTCAGGGCAGGGTTAGTTTAGCTTTCTCTGACAATAGGATTATCACCAGATTCAGATTTTTTTTTTTTTCTTTTTTGAGACAGAGTCTCACTCTTGTCCAGGCTGGAGTGCTGTGGTGCAGTCTCAGCTCACTGCAACCTCTGCCTCCAGGGTTCAAGCGATTCTCGCGCCTCAGCCTCCCGAGTAGCTGGGATTACAGACATGCGCCACTACACCCAGCTAACTTTTGTATTTTTCAGTAAACGGGATTTCACCAGGCTGGTCAGGTTGGTCTCAAACTCCTGACTACAAGTAATCCCCCTGCCTCGGCCTTCTCAAAGTGCTAGGATTATAGGCATGAGCCACCATGCCCGGCCAATAGATTCAGATTATCAATAAAAGTGTTCATGGCTTTTCCCCACCAATCTCAAAATTGCTCCAACACCCTAAAAGAAGGTCTCACTGTGATACACATTCACTACATTTAAAGGCAAAGAAAATTAACACCTCTATGATAAAAGCAGAAAATGAGGAAGGGTCCTTAGAAGCACGGGTTTGAATCTCAGCTCCACCACTAACTGGTAACTTTTTCTGGGCCTCCTCAGAAAAGACAATCTCTTATTTCCCAGCTCTAATATCTGAGCCAGATGACAGCATCTGAACCTTAAACAGGTGACTTCAGAAATGGAGACTCACAGGTCCCTTCTCGCAGGAGTGTTTGGATAAGGAGTGGACACTCAAGGCAAGGCCAGAAGCATGAGACAATGGCAGGAAAAAGTCCTTCTCTGGGGAAATGTGGAAAAATTTCACCCAAAACACCCTGTACCTTTCTTCATCATGTCTCGGTCCAAGGCTACATTTCTTTGGGCAAGGTTTACTTCTGATCGAAAATGGAAGCGCTTGGCTCGCTGTTCTTTCTTTTCAATTGCTTCCTAGAAAGTACAGAAAAAGTTACAGTAGTAAAAGATGGCGAAGGCACGTTAAATTACAAATGCATCACGATGCATCACTGGCAAACCTGAAATACACAGGAAGAAATAAGCAGCACTGCACCCTGAATAAGCTCTGCAGAGACCTGGACATTCACACTCAATGACCGGGAGGGCATACACTAGTACTGCTGTGACTTACAACCATGGCCAACCCCACACCACCTGTCACTGTGCCTGGGATACACTAGGAAGTCAGTGAGTATCTGCTGGCTGAATGAAGAGTGCTTTACCGTTTACGAAGTTATATGACATTGCATTTGTTACTATCAATTATGCCAACAAATTACAACGAAACAATTTCAACATCCCAATTTTCCAGGGGCAGAAATGGAGGTACAAAAAAGCAGAAAGGTTTGCTGGAATACTTCGGCTAGTAAGCAAGCAGATCTGATTCCAGTGCTATTTCTAGGGGCCCACCTACAACCACCATTTCTCATTGTCTGTGGGCATGGTAATCACACCTATCACGCTCTTCCACATTATATCTGCCTGAGCAGTCCACTCCCGAAAGCTAGTCTGTTTAAAAATAACACTGAAGCAAAAAAAAACCTCTCTCTCCTCTTCCAGCCTTGTGTCCATGGAATCACCAGTTTTCATCTTTAAGAACCATTGACACGGGCCGGGCGCGGTGGCTCATGCCTGTAATCCCAGCACTTTGGGAGGCCGAGGCGGGTGGATCACGAGGTCGAGAGATCGAGACCATCCTGGTCAACATGGTGAAACCCCGTCTCTACTAAAAATACAAAAAATTAGCTGGGCATGGTGGCACGTGCCTGTAATCCCAGCTACTCAGGAGGCTGAGGCAGGAGAATTGCCTGAATCCAGGAGACGGAGGTTGCGGAGAGCCGAGATTGCGCCATTGCATTCCAGTCTGGGTAACAAGAGCGAGACTCTGTCTCAAAAAAAAAAAAAAGAACCATTGACACTTCTCGGAAAATATAAGTTTCTTCTAGGAGGTAAAATAAACCCAGGTCCACCTGTGGGGTTCTTTCTGATGGCTCCTAGGAACCCTTCACTAATTGCCTTTTTTTTTCCTGCTCGCTTTGTTTTTGAGATGGAGCCTCGCTCTGTCACCAGGCTGGAGTGCAGTGGCACGATCTCGGCTCACTACAACCTCCACCTCCCAGGTTCAAGTGATTCTCCTGCCTCAGCCTCCACAGTAGCTAGGACTACAGGCGTGCGCCACCACGCCTAGCTAATTTTTGTATTTTTAGTAGAGACGGGGTTTCACCATGTTGGCCAGGATGGTTTCGATCTCTTGACCTCGTGATCCGCCCGCCTCGACCTCCCACAGTGCTGGGATTACAGGCATGGGCCACTGCGCCCGGCCCCCTTCATTAATTGCATGTTGACTCTGCCACGCTAACTGAAGGTCTGACTACAGAAACCTTGCGGGGATTGGTAAAGTGGCAACACATCTGTTATTTCCCAATAGTTATGCCCATTTTTCCACTGAAGTCTTCCCAGTACAAACAACAATTTACCTTCCTTTAGAAACAAAGTACTAACTCTGAGACTACCACCCTTCTCCCAAATACCTGTTTCATATCATGGCAAACGGTGTAAGATTATGAACAGTCTACTTATCCAATTACACTAAAAAAAAGATTTTCACTTTATTCTCTTTTCTTGTCTAAAAGATGACCAATTCTATTTTTTTTTTTTTTTTTTTTTTTTTTTTTGCCTTTAAGTAACTGGAAACACACTGAAACACAGATAAACTATAAAAAGCTTAGCTGGGCGTGATGGCATCCGCCTGTAGTCCCAGCTAATCAGGAGGCTGAGGCAGAAGGATCAACTGAACCCAGGAAGTGGAGGTTGCAGTGAGCGAAGATTGTGCTCTGAACTCCAGTGATACAGTGAGACTGTCTCAAAACAAACAAATAAAAACAAAACAAAACAAAAACTATAAAAAGGTAGGCATGAGATATTCTTATTTTTGCTTTTACCTATTCCATACAGCAATATATGCTATTATTCAGAAATGTAATACAAAATTCTGTTCCAAACAGCACAATTAAAATCAGAAAAATTGTCTAAAATTGAACATCACTGATTAAAGCAACTTACATGTATTGACTACGTAGAAGGAAAATAATAGGCTTGACTCTATGAGGTGTTACAGTGAAGGTGGTAATCTAGTAATAGCGATCGTTAGATACAAGCCAATAGTCTTAGGTACTGAGAATAATTCCCCTGACTTGGGCTTCAAACTTCAGACAGCCAGGCAATCAAGAAGCCCTATTTTTCTAAGTCTACAACTGATGAGGAATAAAGGCTATTAAGTACCTACTATGTGCCAGGCACTTTTTATGTTTTGTTTCATTTCAACTGAAACAGTACACATTTTTTAAAGAACGGACATACCATTTAAAAAAGCATTCCTGATACTGGCCACTTTCTTGGAAATGGTTACATACAGGTATCTAGGTAGAGTGAGTTTACCTCTCCATGACTGTCCTGCACAGTTTCAGGATGCATGAAGACATCATTGTATATATAACACAACATTTTGTTTTTTTGAGACAAGGTCTCACTGTTGCCCACACTGGTGGGCAATGGCACGATTTCAGCTCACTGCAGTCTCGACCTCTCAGACTCAAACGATCCTCCCACCTCAGCCTCCCAGGTAGCTGGGACGACAGACATGTGCCACCATACCCAGCTAATTTTTGTATCTTTTGTGGAGATGGGTCTCACTGTGTTGCCCAGGCTGGTCTGGAACTCCTGGGCTCCAATGATCCACCTGCCTTGGCCTCTCAAAGTGCTAGGATTACAGGTATGACATTTAAATCCAGCAACAAAAGAAAAAAGAAAGTATTTAGTGCTAAGTACTAGGGGTTAGGTTGATTAAGTTCACTTGCTCATCACCCTGAATAAAGGCATCCCAGTCTGCCTTACCTTGGAGGTGACATCAATCCCGGTGATGAAGCTGCCAGCCTTGTTTTCGTATCTTCTGCTTGTGTCCTAACACAAAGGGGAAGGGTAAGAAATTCAGACAGCAACTGAGGAAAAACCCATGATAAAAGTCAGCCTGCCGACTGGTTGGTTTTTTTTGTGACAGTGTCTCACTCTGTTGCCCAGGCTGGAGTGCAGTAGAAGCATCACGGCTCACTGCAGCCTCAACTCCCCTGCAACCTGGACTTCCCGGGCTCAAGCAATCCTCCCATCTCAGCTTCCCGAGTAGCTGGGCCTTTGGGCATGTGCCACCTCGCCCAGCTAATTTTTTTATTTTTGTAGAGGCAGGGTCCCCCCTATGTTGCCCAGGCTGGTCTCCAACTCCTGGGCTAAAGCAGTCCTTTTGCGTCAGTCTCCCAAAGTGTTAGGATTACACACATGAGCCATCACACCCACTCTGGTTCTTTTTGTTTTTCTGTTTGTTTGTTTTTTGAGATGGAGTCTCGAGCTATAGCCCAGGCTGGAGTATAGTGGCATGAACTTGGCTCACTGCAGCCTCCACCTACCGGGTTCAAGTGATTCTCCTGCCTCAGCCTCCCGAGTAACTGGGATTCTAGGCATGTGCCACTGCAGCCAGCTAACTTTGTTATTTTTAGTAGAGATGAGGTTTCGCCATGTTGGCCAGCTGGTCTCAAACTCCAGACCTCAGGTGATCCGCCTGTCTCAGCCTCCCAAAGTGCTGGGATTCCAGACGTGAGCCATTGCACCTGGCCAGTCTGGTTCTTTTTGAATAGTCATTCTTTTCAAAACCCTTTCCTACCCCTGACAACCTTTTATTAAGAAGCCCCATGCCAGTGATTCTATGCTATCAATCAGATCTTCCAATAAGAAGATCAGAGCCTATCCAAAACCTGAAGTAATTGCATCAACTGAAAGTATCCATGTAAAGAAAATCTAAAGGCTTTTTGGAAAATGTCAAAAGATGAGGCACACTCAGCTCCCCAACCTCGTCTGAACAAATCCCCATGTCCCGCCACCAGGTGGAGCATAACCCTTCACCTCAGTGCAGAAGGTCCAGCCTCACCTAGAACTCCGGACCGGCACAGTGCAATGCAAAGAGGATGGGATGTGAATACCAGGCGAGCACTGAAGCCTCGGCTCTGACGGTCACTAATTACAGGACACTGTGGTTTCCTTGACCTCTCTGAGTCTGTTTCCTCCGTGGTATCTACCTGCCTTCCTGAGCTCTTTTACTGCTCTTCCATTTGTGCTACGAACTTTCCAACAATCCTGGACCCACTGCAGAGCCTCTGTGCTTGTTATTGCTCCTGCCGGAGAACTCCCTTTCAATCTGCACAAGGCTGGCTCCCTTTTGTCATTTAGAGTTTAGCTAAAGTGTCCCTATCTCAGAGGACTTCCCTGACCATCCTATTTATCACATTCTACTTCCCCCTCTGCACAGACTCCCCCTCCCCCCACTCTCTCCCCTTCTCTCCTCCCCGTGCTACCCGCCCCCCAGCACTCTCTATCCCATTAACATGGTTTACTTTCTTCACACTACTTAACACTGACAAAATTATTTATTTAATGTGCCCCCACCTGGAACATAAACTCCAGGAGGGAGTTTGATCTTGATCTTGATCAAGGCACCTAGGACTGTGCCTGGTACATAGTGGGGGATGCGATAAACAATACACGTTGAGGCCGGGATGCAGTGGCTCATGCCCGTAATCCCAGCACTCTGGGAGCCTGAGGCGGGTGAATAACAAGCTCAGGAGTTAGAGACAGCCTGGCCAAAATGGAGAAACCCTGTCTCTCCTAAAAATAACAAAATTAGCCAGGTGCGGTGGCGGATGCCTGTAGTCCCAGCTACTCGGGAGACTGAGGCACGAGAGAATCACTTGAACCTGGGAGGCAGAGGTTGCGGTGAGCCGAGATCGCGCCATTGCACCCCAGCCTGGGCAACAAGAGTGAAACTTCGTCTCAAATAAATAAATAAATAAATACACGCTGAACTGAATGACTGAAGGAATGGTAACAACTACTTCACAACAGCAGTGATATTTATTTCGGTTTTGTTTTGTTTTTGAGATCGGGAGAAGCGAAAGGAGGGACCCCAAAGGGGCCTTGCTATGTTGCTGAGGCTGGTCTGAAACTTAGACTCCTGAAGAGCTGGTACGCGTGCACGGCCAGTATATTTAAGTAACACAATGAAGCGAATGGCAGTGAATGAAGTGAATGGTAAATCTACTATGTAACTGCTGTTAATCATAACCATTCACGTCTGCCCTCTCTGGCGATCATATCTTAACCTTTCTCCGTAACTTCAGTCTAAATATGTTGACATGTGGTCAAAAGTGGTTCATGTTAGGTGAGAAATTAAGAGGGGTCATCCAGGCCTGAGACCAGCTCTAAGAACTGGATACCCAGCCACCAAGCCACAAGCAAAACACCTCTCAGCATCCCCAGCGTGGTGAAGGAGGGACCAAGGACGTCTATTGGTCGTCTCCACTTTGTTTTGAGTCAGATGCTGGGGCCACGGTGTAGGTGCCAGTGGGGCCGCGGGGGTCAGGGCGACCCTGATCACGACAGAAGCAGTGAGCTCCGCTGCTGACAATGTACCTGTCTGCTGCTCTACGCACTCCCAAGAGAAAGAGCGAGCGCCGTGTTTCACAGACCCCACTCCTCCGGGGCAAGACCCTCAGGAGACCTGGGCGCTGGCGCCACCCAGCAGCTCCTTCGGGGCTGTCCTGGTTCTGTTCCCGCCCAGGGCTCTCCCTTTATCTCATCCCTCCAGCCCCTCCTCACTCACCCCCTTGCACTGCGCGGCTCGGAGGGGGCAGCGGAGGGGGGTCCTCAACTCCCTCCCAGCTCCCCGCCACCCCCTCAACCCCCATTTCCGGCGCCCCGGCGTCCTTTCTCCTGCTCCGCGTTCCTACTCCAGACCGGCGCCCCCGGCCCCGGGGCGCGGCTACCCTCTCTCCCGTTCCTCCGACTTCCCCGGCTGGGGCTCCGGCCACCGCCCCCTCCGGCCTCCTCCGGCGCCGGGCACTCGCCCTGCGACCTCCTCCGAGCCCCCCGACCCTCGCCCGTACCGGGATCAATTCCTTCAGCGAGCGCCGCACCGGCACGATCTCCAGCTCGCCCTCCTCCACCTCCATGGGCTCCGGCTCGCCACGGTCTACGCCGGACTCCGCCTCAGGGGACGGGAGCCCGAGGGCCGGCCCCGCCGGGGCCTCTGCCTTCACCGACACCCGCAGGCCCCGCACGGCCGCCATCGCTGCCTGCCGGCCGCAGCACCGAGAGCCCGCCCCTCACGGCCGCCGGCTAGAGCGCCACGGCCACTGGCCACAGAGGAGCCGCCGCAGCCACCTAGAGCGTCGCCGGCTTCCGCCAGAAGGCCGCCCTCAGCGCCGCTGCCCCCTGGTGGCGGGAGGAACCCGGGCGCGCAGCGCCGGCGGGACCTGGGGAGAAGAAGGCGGGACTGAGCGGGGGAGGGGGCGGGGCCTGCGGGAGCGGACGGAGCCTGGGGGACCCCGGGTATTCTGGGGTTGCAACGCCTTGAGGCTAACCCTGCACTAAACGCTAACTTTACTGGGCGATCACTATGTGCCAGGCACTCCCAAGCCCTCGAACCCTTAGAACAACTCTATGCAGTATATCCTATTATGACCCCCATTTCATATATGAGGAAACTGAGGCATAGACATTGACCCAAAGAAGCCGGGCGCGGTGGCTCACGCCTGTAATCCCAGCACGCTGGGAGGCCGAGGCGGGCCGATCACGAGGTCAAGAGATCGAGACCATCCTGGTGAAACCCTGTCTCTACTAAAAAAAATAGCTGGGCGTGGAGGCGCGCGCCTGTAGTCCCAGCTACTCGGGAGGCTGAGGCAGGAGAATTGCTTGAACCCAGGGGGCGGAGATTGCAGTGAGCCGAGATTGTGCCACTGCTCTCCAGCCTGGCGCCTGGCGGCAGAGCAAGGCTCTGCCTCAAAAAAGAAAGAAAGAAAGAAAGAAATTGACTCAAGGTGACAGGCTATGGAAGGGACAAGAGCTGGATCTGAGTCTGGCTGCGGAGCTTCCAGTGAGCCTTGCCATGTCACCTCTGGGCACTCTGTGCGTTTATAAAGTTACTTGCCTCACCAGTCTTTGTCTCTTCAAAGACTCCCCCAGATTGGCCCATGTTGCATACACAAAGACTGAGACTGCAAGAGAGAGGGGCCTGCCCAAAGGCCAAAATGTGGACGCCAATTTCCCGATTCCTGAGGGTGCCATCCACTGTAGACCTGTGAGCAGATATTTCTAAGGAGAGCCTGGTGGGGGAGAGGGGAGTCTTCTAGGTGTCCAGAGGGTGTCACGTTCAGAGGGTGTGAGCGATTGTTCTGAGTCCTCATTTTCTTTCTTCTTTCTCTCTCTTTCTCTCTTTTTCATTTCTTTTTCCCTCCCTTTCTCCTTCCTTCTTTCCTTTCTTTCCTTCTTTCTCTTTCTTTCCTTCCCTCCTTGCCTCCCTCCCCCCCTCCTTTCCTTCCTCCCTCCCTTCCTTCCTTCCTTTTCTTTTTTGTAGAGACAGGGTTTCACCATGGTGGCCAGGCTGGTCTCTAACTCCTGACCTCAAGTGATCCACCACCTCAGCCTCCCCAAGTGCTGGGGTGACAGGCATGAGCCACAGCGCCCAGCCTGAGTCCTGATTTTGCATCTTCCTTTCTGGGATAGGCTTTGGAGTCTGTTTTCCCATCTGAGGAGGGCATAGGTGAGACCCCGCAGTCTCTGAGACCCTATCAGCTCTGACCACGGAGGAGCAAATCGTGATAAACCAAGGAAGAGCTTGGCCAGCATCAGACAAACCTGGGTTTCCAGCTGGCTGGCCCTGTCCCATGCACCATGTGTGACCTTGGGCAAGCTGTTTAGCCCTACGGAGCCTCAGCTCCCTCATCAGTAAAACGGACCATTACCCCCCTCCAAAGGAGGCTGTGAGGATTAGATGTGATAATTTACATGTAGATACAGGACCCAGTAGTACAATACATCATAGTTTTTCTTAAATTTGGGCTAAACCGCAGGATAAACACAAGACGGAGCTCTTCAGAGGACTAGTTTTATTCTATGAATGGGACACAAAGTAGTTTTAAAAATTGAGTTGAATGCATATGTAGAACGCGTGTGCACATGCGTGTGTGCATGTGTGTGTGCGTGTGTTTAATTTCCTTTTTTTTTTTCTTTGAGATGGAGTCTCGCTCTTTCATCCAGGCTGGAGTGCAATAGCGCAATCTTGGCTCACTGCAACCTTCACCTCCCGGGTTCAAGCGATTCTCCTGCCTCGGCCTCCTGAATAGCTGGGATTACAGGTACCTGCCACCACACCTGGCTAATTTTTGTATTTTTAGTAGAGACGGGGTTTCACCATGTTGGTCAGGCTGGTCCCAAACTCCTGACCTTGTGATCCACCTGCCTCGGCCTCCCAAAGTGCTGGGATTACAGGTATGAGCCACCATCCTGGTCATGCGTTTAATTTCAAACAAAATGTATACGTGGGGTGGCCAGCTATAGGTAACAGTCACAGGCCCCATCATTACTAGGCCTATGGGGTGAGTGGATGGGAGAGGAGGAAGCAATCCCTCCTCAGCTATGGACATCAGGAGGCCAGGAGAGAAGCCTGGGCATTCCCCTCTCCCTGCTGGGGAGGAGCCCTGTTGCTTGCGGCCTCAATTCAGTGTTGCAGTTCAGTGCCATTCAGAAGACACCCAGTGCCCTGGCACTGTAGCTGGTAGGTACATTGGGAGTCCAGGACAAGCCACGACATGAGGCAAACATCAAGGCTCCTAGGCTCGTGCAGGAAAGCCCTCTGTGCCATTCTCTTTTTGGTCACCTTATCCGCCATCTCCCACCCCCTTTCTTGTTCGCAATGTAGCCACTGAGTTGGAACCACAGAGAATTTAGGAAGGTGGTAAAGGCCAATTTTCAAAAACTGAAAAACATGATTCTCAAACAGATGTAAAATGAACACATGTCAAAGCTTGCATCGATTCTTTAGTAAAGGAGGACACCCGTAGAAATATTAAGAACAGTTCAAAAGAGAATTTGAAGGTAGTTGGTCAAAGGAATGCTGAGATGAATTTGACAAGGCAAGTAAATGCCCTATAAAGCAAGAAACTATAACCTCAGGGATTCCCGTTACCACCAGACTTAAAATGTTTGCATTACTGCTGGACAAGAATTATTTACTTGTCATGAATTTTCTATAAACTTCTACTCTCAGTTGTAAAATGTCCTAATAAATATAAGAAGTCAAACAGGCCGGGCACAGTGGCTCATGCCTGTAATCCCAGCACTTTGGGAGGCCAAGGCAGGTGGATCACATGGTTAGGAGTTCGAGACCAGCCTGGCCAACATAGTGAAACCCCGTTTCTCTGAAAACACAAAAATTAACTGGGCACAGTGGCAGGCACCTGTAATCCCAGCTACTCAGGAGGCTGAGGCAGGAGAATCACTCGAACCCAGGAGGCGGAGGTTGCAGTGAGCCAAGATCACACCACTGCACTCCAGCCTGGGTGACAGTGTGAGACTCCATCTCAAAGAAAGAGAGAGAAAGAGAAACAGAGAAAAGAAAGAAAGAAAGAGAGAAAGAAACAAAGAAAGAAAGAGAGAGAGAGAAAGAAAGAAAGAAAGAAAGAAAGAAAGAAAGAAAGAAAGAAAGAAAGAAAGAAAGAAAAGAAAAGAAAGAAACGAAGAAAGGAAGGAAAAGAAAAGAAAAGAAATTGGTCACTCTCTCTTCTTTATTTTATTTTAAATTTATTTAGAGACAGGCTCTCACTTTGTTGCCCAGGCTGGTCTCAAACTCCTGGGCTCAAGTGGTCTTCCCCACTTGGCCTCCCAAAGTGCTGGGATTACAGCTGTGAAGCACCACACCCAGCCCTCTCCGTCTGCTTATTCCCTTTCTGTCTTACCCAGCAAGGAGGGGAATAAAAATCATGGAATCCTTCCTCTCCTGAGGTGACAAAGGGAAGAGCCATGAAAAGGTCACGTGAGTGCCTCAGGTGAAATCAGATGATACCTGAGGGCTGGGAACCTGGTGCACTGGCCTGAGGTGACGCCCTGCTGATTGAAGCAGGAATGTTCTTCAGGGCAGTTTTAAGTGGGTGCCACAACCCCACGCCCCTGACCTTGTGATCCGCCCGCCTCGGCCTCCCAAAGTGCTGAGTTTCCAGGAGTGAAGCACCACACCTGGCCTAATTTTTGTATTTTTAGTAGAGATGGGATTTCACTATGTTGGCCAGGCTGGTCTCAAACTCTCGACCTCAGGTGATCCACCCTCCTCGGCCTCCCAAAGTGCTGGGGTGACAGGCGTGAGCCACCAGGCTTGGCCATCTCTCTCACGTTCTCCATCCTCCCCTCAACTCCCTTGAGCACTTGGCCTCATGGACGCTGCGCGTTCGGACACTCAGTTCTGAAACCACACGCTCCGCTATGATCACGCCACTCTTGGTATTCTTTTCTGTCCACCGCCCCTGCCCTAGGACCCTTGGGGGCTCTGCCAACTTCCGAGACAGTGGCGTTCTGCCAGGCCTCAGTCCTGGGCTTCTTCCTTCTCACTCCCTCAACTAGCTCACCACACACATGGCTTTCAACTCCACTGCTGTGCACACGCTGAGGCCCCGCGTCTCCATTCCCAGTTCTCTCCTCTCCCTCGAGCTCCAGATCTCCAGATGGGCACATCCAACTGCCTCCCAGAAGCCAGGCACTTCCGACTCACCCTGCCGGTCCGTGCCTGCGCTCCCTCCCTCCCCAATCAGCACCTGCAGTCAATCCAGGGGGTGGATGCCTGGAAGCCTGGGGCTGCCCTGACCCCTTCCGCTCCCACCCCCACGGCCAGCCCATGCGTGGCCTTGTCACTCTGGCCTCCCACATGTCCCTCGTGCCCATTTGCTTCCTTCCATCCCGGCCACATCATAGCATCTGCAGAGTGGACACTGCCATGGTCTCCTCACTGGCCTCTCCGTTTTTCTGGTTCTTCTACTCCCATCCTACACTGTAGCCAGAGAAACCTTTTGATTTTTTTTTTTTTTTTTTTGACAGGTTCTTGCTCTATTGCCCAGGCTGGAGTGCAGTGATGCTATCTTGGCTGCCTGCAGCCTCAACGTCCTGGGCTCAAGCAATCCTCCTCCCTCAGCCTCCTATGTGGCTGGGACCACAGGCATGCACCATCATAACCAACTAACTTTTATTTTTTGTAGAGATGGGGTCTGTTTGTTGCCCAGGCTGGTCTTGAATTCCTGGGCTCAAGTGATCCGTCTGTCTTGGCCTCCCACAGTGCTGGGACGACATGGCCCT